TGCTCTTGCCTCGGGCGCAAAAGGACCTAGCTATGGCTCTGCATGCATGTAGCAATGGTAGGGCATGACACTTTAAGCCTAATCTGCAGTTTAAGTCTCCCCAATTTATAGGGCCGTATTGCGTCAATGAATGACTAATCTCACAGATGTCAAAATGTAATATAATGAAATCGATTTTAACATATGGATGTTTTTTGGGGGGCATAATAATTGATATATTTTTGTATGCATTTAGTGGTTTTCTCATAGTGTATGTATAATGCTCTGGATAAAAGGTTTGTTGGATCCTGTCTGCGTCCGAGCTGGGACACCGGCACCCGGACCTGCATTTGGGGTGAGCGTAGGGCGGTGTACGGTCACGTAGTCCCATAGAGAAAGACAGGGGCTGCGTACTAATCACACGCAGCACCTGTCCTTCCCGGGAGCTGCCCGATACGGCCGTGCAAGCAGCACGGAGCTGTATGTGCCGGCTGATTCTCGTGTGAATTAGGCCTAAAACAAAGATTTATAATTTGAAGAAATTAAGCTGAAATCCTTCCCGACTGAAGGCAGTGAGATATATTCTCTGGGTCAATGTATCCTTTGTAATGAACTGTAATGAGCAGAATTCCACCACTGCCAACTGTTACAGCAGAGCCGGATTTGTGTTTCTCTGTAGAACAGCTGCTTTCTTGTAATTCTCTACAAACACTGTCACTTTTATGGTATGCAGGAGTACCGCATTAAACAATACTATTACCAGTTGCAATAGTACGAGGATAAAACCAAGGAAATTCCAATGGGATCGATGCTCTGGATTAATCTCTGTAGCATAGCTTGTCCTGCCAAATGGAACCCTAGCAGATGAATTGCTGGAAATGACTGTATTAGGTCAATTCATTGTGCTGAACTTCTTGGGGGGAAATAGGATTAGACGACATTCCAGAACATTTTGCAAGCACTACAGTTTATTTTGATCTAAAAAAATGTTTATTACAACATACTAGCATGCGTCATTGTGCACACAGAACACCGTGCCTCTGCATACCTGAATCAATCCTAACTGGAATACCCGCCGCATAGGTAAATTTACATATTAGAAGCACAATGAGAGGAATTTATCAACACTGGAGCAGATGTGCATGGCAACCAATCAGCTTCTCTCTTTTACTTTCAAATCTTAACTGAAAAAACTGAAGAGAGAAGCTGATTGGTTGCCATTGGCAACTGCTCCAGATTTTGTCTGCTCCAGTTTTGATAAATCCCCCCCCCCATGTATTAGAGCAGCGCCAACCAATGGACACATTATCTTGTTAAATTCGAACTCTAGCAACAGCTAGAATCACAGATCACATCCATTCCTGAGATTTAGTAATGAGATCTTCTGCACAGACCTGTATGGTAGGGCATGATATATTTTTTTTGCTGCAGTTATGTAACATTAAAGGTCTTTTTCCTTTCCCAGCCTATGACTTGAAAGTGAAAGGAGAGGGAGCAGACTGATAAACTCATCTCTGTCACTGTGCTCCCTCCACCTCGCACACAATCACTGAAGCAAACCAGATTGGTTCCTTGTGCTGCTTCTCCCTCTTGCAGCCTGAGCTCTGCTGTGCAGGCATTGTAAGTGGCTGCTGTCAGATCAAATGTAGCTACTTACACTGCTTGTTATGATTGGACTACGGGCCTTAGTCGACAGGCTTTGGGCTTGTGTCAATGGCATTAGTTTGAGACGCTTCTAAGATCATTCAGAATATATTGACAGGTACTGTTTGGGCTCATTCAGAGGGGCGTACACGCCCCTAAGAAGACCCGTTCCAGAAGGGACAGGTGTTGCATGTAATTGCACGCAGCGGCCCGTTCTCCACCTTTATAGGGCCGGGACCCCTTGGTAACATTTGCCAGGTTGTGGTGACCCCCAACCGTAAAATGTAGGGATGCACCAATACTAGTATCTGTGTGGGCTCTCTGGAGGCTATGCGGGCTCTCAGGTGGCTAGTGGGACTCTGGTGGTGCCCAGTTGCGGGCTCTGTGGTGCCCAGTTGCGGGCTCTGTGGTGATCAAGCACTCACCTCCCCTCATTCCTGCCCGCTCCCCTCTCTTTGACCCTCTGAAGCGGCTGCTGATGCAGCGCCATCTAAGAGAACTGACACTGCTGCACTAGGAGGAGGCTGAGGAGCCTCTTACCTAGAGCAGCACAAGGCATGTAGGGACCCCCTCAACTGTGGGTTGCGACCCACAGGTTGAGAACCACTGCTATAGGGGGACATGGCTGCAAGCATTTACACGTGGTTACATGCACACCTGAACCTGAACATCCATGTGGGTCCAGGTGCCCGCACTTAGACACAGACTGTCTAACATCTGAGTCCACGTCGGAGTCTCACCTGTATTTTACCTGCTTCAAGCAGGTTTTTTGCACTCCCATTAACCTATGACACTATATACTATTCCCTCTTTGCTCCTCCCTCGGTAGCTACAGAAAAGGTTTTGTAGGGAGGGAAGGGGAGGTGCTGAGGAGCTGGGCCAACAGACAGTAAATGGACAAGTCCAAGTCCCATCGCACTCCTAACTAGTATATAATTACCCCAATCCTGGGTGGGTGCTGCAGCGAATGGGGATGGCCTCGCACAAAAATCAATAATAAAAAAAAAAATCCTGTCATGCCAATAAAAGGATCTGACATTTAGGATATTGGAGTGCCAACAACCTTCTCTTTTCTACAGTAATTAGACACTCCCAGAAGAGGAGAGGGATAAGACGTTCAAGGACAGAAGGGGCTGTGCTAAGGAATGGACTCTTCTTGGAGAAGACACATTTTCTAACAAGTTCAAAGGCATATTGCAGGTGAATAAAACTATTTATGGATAGGAAAAAATAGCATGTATGCGTTAAAATACATTTTTTCTGTGCCATTACCTTTAATTTGGCACTTTGGTGACCGGGTTAACATAGTTAACAACATTTATAAGGGTTAACATAAAACAAAATCAGAAAAGCAAAGCTGCTAAGAGTGCATATTCCTTTTCACTGTGATTATGTGGTTCCTGGTAAAAGCTCTAGATAGTGTTCATGATCAGATTCAGTTTGGTAAGGAGTGCAGGAAACTGAAGGAAGAACACACTTACCCTTGGATTAAAGACTCAAATAATGTGTTGTAGAAGTCCAGCCGGGGGCTCGATATGTCACAGGGGATTCTGCTGAGGAAAGGCAACAGATTGGGGAAGATAACAGTTGCCAAGCCTCTGCCTCCCTCTCTGAGGACCGTCCATAACTTGGGTAGAACGCCCTTCCTTGCACTCACATAATCCCAGCATTTCTAGGAGAAAACAGTCACTTAATGAGCACCTTTCACTTCAAAACATTTGTCATCTTAAACTATAAAGGCTGATGAGGGTTTACTGGCCCCCATCACTGTAATATCACTTCTAATATGGTTTTCTTTCTTTTTAGCTGCTCATATAGTTTACAAGGTTGTCACCCGCTCTGCAGCACTTTATAGAACACAAAAGTGTATTCACATAAATCTCAGCCCCGAACAGCCTGCATTCTAAATCCTGATGGGAATGGAACCTCTGGACGCCATTATTACATGGCAAAGGTGCCGTAGCTCCTATGCCAAGTACATAGCCAACATAATAGCAGCCTAGGTCACATCTTCATACAATGAAGGAACGCCATAGGATCGGATAAAGGCTTAACTTGTGACCATTATTCCAGCTCACAAGCCTCTCCAACAAAACCATCGGTTAGAACTGTATCCAAAGCCAAAAGGTCTCTTTTTAGTTTTTCATGATATGGGAAAGGGTAGAACTTGTGTTATGTTTTTACTGCTGTCAGGGTCCTCGCTGTGGAGATTTACTCTTGCTATCAAAAAAATTTACAGCTTTCACTGGAAGAGAAACAAAAGAGAAATCTTTTAACGGGGACGCCTGTTTGGATAAACACTAAGCTTTCCCTAGCTAGCTTTGGAGAGATTTTCTTTGCACATCTCAAGCCACCTTGTAGGTGCACAAGGGGACAGATGCAGATTTTTGGGCCAGGGCAGCGTATCCGCTCAGATGTGCAGTTCATTTTGCACAGCCATGGCATCTGTCAGCCTGTCACCGATTTGTAAAGGCTGCTGCCTGCAACCATTAGTAAACACCTGTCACACCGGTGGCGAAGAAATACACCCCTTCTTGATGGTGTACAGCCTTCTGCAGCCGTGTGAATGAGGCCTTACTATAGATAAAAGTATAAATTGTGCTCTATAATTTGTCCCATATAAAAATCACATCAAAATTATGATCCTGGTAAAAAAGCATTGAAAAGCCATTTTATATATTTTTTTTTACTTTTTATTTTGTGTTTTATAAACACAGCACTGAAAAAAAAAGAGCAAAAAGAATTAAAATTTGAAAAAGCAATGCTTAGAAAAATTTAGAAATACAGGGGTGGGCCAACTTAAAAGGAGAACTATGGGGTTAAGTCTATTCCCCATAGTTCTCCTTAGGGTAACGGGAGGACACAAACTAGCGTCCTCCCGTCACCCCAGGCTCAGTATACCGCGAGCTACAGCTCGCGGTATACTGAGACGCCGCAGTACACCGCTAGCTGCTCGCGGTATACTGAGACGCTGAAGCGGATCCTGACAATTGTGCCGGGATCCGCCCAGCTGCGTGACTGATAGCTGGCTCTGCCTATCTAGAGGCAGAGCCAGCTGTACCCGCCCCCTCCCCCATCCGTTCCGCCAGTCAGCGCTGGCGGATCGGAGCGGGGAGGGGGGAATCCAGCCCCTCCACTGTCACGGCAGATAGCTGTGACAGGGTCGAGAGGCGAGCGAACGCCGGTAACTGTTAGCTCACCTCGCGATCTACTGAGCCGACCTGTGACAGTCTCATTGTCACAGGTCGGCTAAAACTATGAGGTGAGTGAAAAGCACTCACCTCATAGTTCGCCTTTAAATTCAAAATGATTTTAGGCTGTTTCAAATGCTGATTAAATCACTTAGAATGGAAGCTGCTCATTGATGTTCAAAAGTTTTAGTTTCCTGCAGAATCAGCTGGTCCCCTAAGCACTGGCCCTGATATCCTGTTTTAGGGTGGCTCCTTTCCCTTGCAGAGTCCTATGGAGTCACCCTTGTGTGTGCTAGTAAGCTGTGTGCATCTCCACAAACACACAGGGACAGCAAGGCAATCCTTTCCCCTGCTCCCTGCTTCTCCTTACTCCCTCTTCACATCTCCCTTCTCCAAGCTAGCAGATGAACATCTGCTGGAGAATGCGCTTTCCCTTATGATCTTGCACTCAACAAATTCAGGGAAGTGGAGCTAAAAGAGTTGGAGCTGTTTTGAAACATGATGGCTTTAAGTGCTTGGGCAAAAAATATAAAGAAATACTTTGCTGGGCAATGTATATTTCTTTGATCTGGATTTCTTAACGAAAAAAATGTATGAGATTTTAATACTACTTTAAGGGGAGAAGGGGGAGTTTATTATAGCTGCTGATTATAATAAACTAAGGGTTAATGAGGGGTTAAACAGGCACACTTTATTTGATTTTTTTTGTTGTTGCTTTAACTGACATCATATGCAGATCCCTGTGACCTGAAGATCAAATCAATGAGACAGAGTAGATACAAAAGTAACAGTTACTTTGTATCTCTCTATTCACATGCGTTTTTTGGCAGAAGCAGCTTTTCCAGCTGCTGTATTTACATAGGAACTCCTGACTGTCTAGAATTGCCAGCAAGTGGAAAGGGTGAGCAGGGGAGGGGCAGAAGGACAGGACGTAACATACACGCCATGGGTACTTTGATGAGGTTTCTTTGTTTTGGGCGTATGTGGTACCGGCCAGTGTCCACAAATAGTTAACAGCAGTCTGTTCCCCCTTATGACAGCCCCGCATACCTCAGCCTTGGAGAGGCCACAGTTTACATACATGTGATATAGATTTTGACCTTTTATGGATAAGCAAGACCAATCAAGTGGCATAAGGTAAGATCAGTAGTCATAAAAGACATTGCCATATGTATAAATCTAGTCCATTTACCTCTATGGTGGTTACAGTGTACAAGACGGCCTCCCACAGTGCAGGACACGCTACAGCATCACTGTCGTCAATACTGAGCAGCACCGCTGGACACACCCGGGAAGCCTCTGTGTTTAGGAGTTCGGGGAGGTACTGGCACAGTGCAGAGATCAGTTCAAAGAAAGCTGAGCGAATCTACACAACAAAAACCAAACAAGATTATGTATACATGGTGAAAGTTTTATTCCCACTTCAAAAACAGGTTTATGACAAATGGCATACCTAAAGGAATCAATCTAAAAGTAAGTAATGGCAACGCTTTTAAATGGTTACTTTCCGATGTTTTATGAAGCAAACAAAAGTCGAAGAAGTAATGCATAATGTTTCGGGAGAGTCTCCTATCGTCATGTAATCCACAGAACTTCTCATTTTCCAACATTATGGTTGCTACTGGTACCCCTTAAAGGGAATTTCAAGTGGTTTTGTATACAATCTTCTTATTTACTCATTCGTTTATTAACGAAAGAACCAATACCGGCGCCTCTGGTTGCAAGATGGGCTGGTTGTAAAGTTGGTTTAGACACCCAAAAGGCAGCTCTCACTGGTCAAAAAGACCATCGATCTAGGAAACAAGGGACAAGACAGAGCGCCTCCATAGTGTAAAAGGGTAATTTATTTGTACAACACGCAAATTAAAACATTCGTTTATTATTGTATTGTAAAGATAAACCTAAAGTTAATAAGCATGCATGCACCCACCGGCCATCCAACCCCAAATCCCCATATACCCATTACTCGTTGGCTAAACCGGGACAAGCTTTGTTCCAGCAGAGCACACTGGAAATCAAGGAAAGTATCTCTGTGTTTGTGGTAAGGGGGGGGTACTAGTTTAGCTGGAGATGCTCAAGTTGGATACATTAGCATTGCAGCATGGGTAGGATTCAGCTAGAATATGGAAAACAAAAGGTCTTCCCAACACTGTGCAGAAAGAATCCCTGAAGTCTTACACTTGGTGACTGGTGTTTGCTGTATTTCCAGAACTTGCTCTGTGCAAGGAGGTGAGCCACCCTCTCCTGAAGGAAGCTGCTCTCTCCTCTGGGCAGCATAGAAAGCAGACGCTTCAGAGCCAGAAGAGAACAGGTCACAACTCGGAAGTACTTAGACTCCCTTTCCTCTGGTGGGACTGTCCTGCAGGGGGAAAAAAATATTTTGAATTTCTCAGAAAATGCAGAACCTAAAGTTCTATTATCCAAATAAAAATACACATTTTAAAGCTGTTTGTATCATGGTAAACTCCAGAAAAGCTTTTAAAGTGGAAGTAAATCACCAGCAAATAACCAGAAAAAAACCCTTTAAAAAGTTCTGCAGATGTTTCGGAAATTGTTAATACTGTGCATAACACTGGCAGCCGCACTACCTTCACTCGCACTAAAGACTGTGCCATCTTGGATGTGTCCTGACATCTACTTCCCCCATCCCTCCTTCCACCCACCACTGATGCCAAACCCGACGCATGTGCAGAAGAACAAATGGGGGTTGCCAGAAGTATTGCGTGAAGGCTATAGGGCTAGCTTAGATTGCTTCAACAAATGGTCATAGCTCTTCGAGGCAACTTATCCATTGCCGTATTTGAACAGTAATAAGTAAAAGTATTTTGCTCTATATTTTGTCCGGTTTAAAAAAGATAAACCAGGATTTAAGCGGGTAAATCAAAAGGTCAGTTTTTTGACAGCAGTAGATGAAATGGCAAATACAGGGAGGAGAGAGGCAGCAGGGTAGAAGGATGGAATGCACTACACATGCCCTGTGTACTTCATTGAAGTTTTTTTTTTATGTGTGTTGCATGCCCAGTGACCACAACTGAATAAACAATCCATTCAATTTATTAACAGGCAAGCTTGCACATTACATATAGTAGGTAGTGGTTAAAAGTGACACTAAACTCAGGACTTAAATCTTAAAAATACATTCAAGTACCTTAACTATTAACAAAAATGTCTCTTATTTGTGTATCACTCGGCTGTAGATCCTCAAATCATCTCTGAATTGGTGCTGACACTGTCCTTCCTTCTGTCCTTCCAGAAGGTAGGACAGTGTCAGCACCAATTCAGAGATGATTTGAGGATCTACAGAGGAGTGATGTACAAATAAGATACATTTTTGTTAATAGTACTTGAATGTATTTTAAGATTTACCTCCTCAGTATTAAAGATCACTTTAAATTTAATAGAATTGTACAATCAGACTGTAATATGGGTGACCTCTACTTAAAGGTTAACTTAAAGCAAGCCTTTGCTTTCGCCAAAAGTTTGCCCATAAAAAGTTAAACACATTCAATTTAATGTTTCACTCCCCAGCATATTATCAGCTATGACACAAATCAGACACCGTTTAACCTCTTATTTGGCACCAAACCTCCTGCTTGGGGTGCACGACTCTGACCCTTTTACTAAGACCATTCATCTGCAAAACAAATAGTGTAACACAGCTTCTTCATCCGATGGTATGCTATTAAAAATGCATCTGACATACAAGATAAGACAGCGAACGTGTTTCATCATACACAGTCTTAGTCAATGATTGGTCCAGTGCTGCCACATGGGGACAGGGAGACAGGGAGACAATCCTGAGAGTTTACACAGGGGTTCTTTTGCCTTCTTAGCTTAATTGGGCAAGGCAATTATTATCTTTTTTTTTTTTTTAAGAAATGGCCTAAGCAGACAGTGCTGCATCTAGGTATACAGAGCATAGTTTCAAATACTTACTGCAATTCTTCAAATAGTTTCTCTTTCTCAGCTAAATATAGTATGAAACCTTGGGAATAATGATTATACAAATTGAGATATGACACCAGAAAAAAAAAAAGAAAAAAATCAGAACACGTACTGCGGATCACTTAGGGAGTCCGGGGTTTCTTTCAGGAGGTGATCTAGTAAAACCTACACATGGAGAAAAAAAAAAAAAAACTATGTTAAAATAAATTATACATAAAGCAAAAACACTGTCTTATTCATATGCACGTAAGGGTGACCAGCTCAATATAAATCACATTAAGGTGTGTTCATGTTTTAGAAACATGTTTTCTATGTAGAATTTGTAAATACAGTATATCGGTGCATTGGGGCAGTCAAATAGCCATATTTCCTTGTTGTATATGTAATTGCAATCCTGCTTAGAAGTACTGCTCAGTGAATGTGTTGGTGGGCTTTGGAAATGGTGTTGAAGGTACAAGTTTGAGATGCTTCCGAGATCATTAAAAAATGACGGGTGCATTTGACCAGCAGTTCACCAGCTCCTTCTACCCTGCAATTATTTGAGTACATGATTTTTCAACAATATGCTTTATACAAGGTTTTTCGACAAGCTTAACAGCTTGCCAGGATTATAAAATGGCTAAATAAAACGCTATATGGACACCCTGGATAGATTGTTTCTTCCCCCCCGCTATCCGTAGGGACTCTCCATCTTTGATATTTCCATTTACCTTGACGTAAGGTGAAGATTGACCTAGCGCAGTGATGGCGAACCTCGGCACTCCAGCTGCTTTGGAACTACAAGTCCCATGAGGCATTGCAAGGCTCTGACAGCCACAACTCCCAGAGGCAGATGCATGTTGGGATTTGCAGTTTTGGCACAGCTGGAGTGCCAAGGTTCGCCACCACTGACCTAGCGCATCCTGTTCCCTTCCTCTCCCCAGCTGTCCTCTTCTGAATCTGACCTTCCCTAGTGTCGTTAATTTTCTCTGTTGTTGGGGTTTTTTCCCTTTGGCTGACTGTTGGCATTCTGATTCCACTTACTGTGAAGTTGGTGTATTTGTATTGCCAAGTACCGTGTTATATTGAAACGTATTCAATGATGTTACCACCTGAATTTACAGCTCTGTCCACCAGCCAGAGAAACAAAGTATTCACATTTCCTCAGCTTTATTCACTTAAAACTCTACTCCATACTACTCCAGACAAACAGCTAAAAGACACAGATGAAATACAGCTGCCCATACACTATTCGAATTTCTAAGGGTGCCCACACACCTTACGATAACCGTACGATAATCGTGGGAAATCCCGCGATCATCATACGGTGTGTGGAAGCCGTGCGACCTCTACTACTGTAAGGTCGCACGACTTTAAACTTACGAACATGTTCGAAAACCCGCCGAGCATCGTACGATGTTCGGCGGGTGTCTAGCATGTTCGTAAGATAAAAGCCGGACGGGCCGGTGTGCGCAAGCGCACACAGCCCGTTTGGCTTTGCGGTAATCGGAAGCCAGCCCCTCAGGGGGCGCGGCTTGCGATCATCGCAAGTACGATCTGCCTGTCCAAGATAGGCAGATCGCACGTTTTTTTAAGTACCATACAACCATCACAAGACAAAAGTCTTGCGATGGTTGTAAGGTGTGTGCCCAGCATAACAGAGGCCACCGTTCAAAGTTTTTCCGACTGGCTCCTTTGATCAGCTGATCGAGGGATGTCAGCCGAAAGGATGCCAACAGCAGCACCCACTGGAGAAATTCACTCAGTGGGTGCCGCTGTCAGCATTCATTTTGGCCCACATCCCTCGATTAGCTGATCAAAGTTTTTCCGACTGGCTCCTTTGAACAGCGGTCTCTGTCCGAATACAAAAGGAAACAGCAGGAGATTTTTCGATCAATATTCCTAAGCATTGATGGAGGAATCCGTTCATTTTTTTTTTTTTCTTTAGTTCAGCCTGCGGCCTGCTTAACTTTCTGTGTGGCTTTTACCTCCCCGTCTGAAGCTAAAAAACAAAGAAAAATTCAGATACTTCCACTTCTTGCATTTAACAAAATACTCTGCGCACAATACAGAGCTGCATTCGCTTGTGTTTGTATTGTGTGTACCTGTTGACCCATCGAGAAATCCTGTGTGCTTATAACTTCCTGTTCCTTGCACTGAACTGAAAACGCAAACTAGGTCATCGTTTACGCTGGTCAGTGATAATCGTCACTCTAGGACCGGAAGTGTCTAACTGGCGGAATTCACCAGGCGATTATATAGGAGAAAAGCCTGAAATACTAATGCAGCCACCACATCTAAGGACTGGTACGCTGCAATGTATTAAATTTGTGTTCTTGGGTTTCATTTAGGTTTACTGGCCCCTTTTAAAATAAAAAATAAGAAACGAACAAACAAAACTGAATCCAAAATGAGTTCACAGAGGAAACCTTTTTGTCTTGATAGGATGTAAAGCAGATTAGCGCGTACTCCATCCAAGCATTTGATCTATAGGTGGCCAAACCTCAGCAGATGTTGGGGTTAGGACCTTGTGTAATAACTGGCTTAACTTAATGCCAACAAAGTATAACTTTTTGTTCCATAAAGAAAGCTGTAGGCTGAGCACAAGAACAGATGTGTATATTATTTTATCTAAGGGTTCCTGGAAACCAGAACCCAGCAGGGGTGACAAACAGTATTTAATGAGTAAGACTGGTGTTTTTCTTACAAATCATACAAACCATCCTCATATTTGTCCCCGCCGTGAACCTTTTCTGTTTTTATCACTATTATTTTATTATAAAAATAATCCTGGCATAAGTCAGAGATTGGAACGTTCCATTTTAGAGGAAATAAGATCACCAAAGATGGTTACCAATTTATTAATTTTTTTACAGGTATTTATAGAACGCAGACAATTTACACAGCGCTTATATAGTGCACATTGACATCAGTCCCTGCCCTCAAAATGCTTCCAATCTAAGGTCCCCATCTCACTCACATACAGGGTCAATTTAAACAGCATGTTTTTGGAGTGTGGGAGGAAACTGGAGAACCTGGAGGAAACCCATGCAAGCACAGAGAGAAGCTCCTTGCTAGTGTCTCGGATTCAAAACTGGGGACCCCCCCCCAAGGCAAGGCAGTAGCACCAACCTCTTATCCATTGTGCCGCCAAATGGAAACTGCAAGTGGAAGCTTCAACACACATTAGGCAGGCATGGTCTACTGTGGTATTAGCTAACCTGCTTTCATAATTGCAATGCAGCCATCACTGGAGTGCACATAGTCAGGAAGTGGCAGTAAAGACACAGCAGGAGATGAAAGGATGAAAAAAACTAAAGTAAAAACAAGCATTTTATTTAGATCCCAGCTGAACATCTGAACTGTGCATGCACCTGCCCCAAGAGCCTTTGCGGCCGCCCGAGAAATTTTCAGATGTTCGGACGGGAGCGCGCGGGGGAGACACAGGTAAGCATTAACCCTTCGAAAAAGTTGTTTTTTTTATCGTTTTGCATATATCTACTGCTTGCTAGCAAAAAAACAAACAATGAGGATTTAATAACCCTTTGAACTATGCTCACTGAATCTAGATCAGAGGTAATCTCTTCCAATGAAAAAGCGTTCCTACAATAAATGCTGTTCTATATCAGACACACAATTTGTTAGAGAGATCTGTATCTTCAACAATCAATTTACTGAAGCGGGTGAACCTCAGCTTTATATCTATAGGAATAAAAATACACAAGCACTGCTCATCTAATAGAAGTGTATGACCAGCTTAAATGTCCTCTCCAGCCAACATCAAAAACTACTTTTCAAAAATGCTATGGGTTCCTTTTTTTAATGCAGTACCTTGGCACTGCTTTCAGGCCCACAGCCAGGCAAAATACCAATAAGAGAACCCCTACATGGATTTCCAAACTTTGCCCCTTATAGTTTATTGATGCTGCCGTGTTACACCTCCAGTCCAGTGTATTTAGTGTTTAAAATCAACCCCAACAAGTAAAGCCATACACGGATTGAATTTTGGCCAATTCCTGATGATTTGACCAAACGTCAAGCTGTGGGTGGGTCTCCCGGCACCACCTGGCTTGACACTCGATTTTTCAGTTTACTTTTGTCAAAGGAGCCGGATTGAAAATTGTTTGCCAAACAGTGACTGTAGTCAATCCCCAGCACATTCCTCTCCTTTGCACACCATCAGATTGCGGATTTACTACAGCAAGCGCTTACTGGCTTATTTTTTAGCCCCCTCAAGGCTGCGAACAGCTCCCCCATGGGATAGAAATACCATCCTTGCATAGTCAGGCCCTTAATGAGATAACAGACACCTCCTACCCTTGGCTATTTGTGCAGGAGTCACAGGGCAGGTACGGTAGGTGCAGTGACCTGATTTCACAGCAATGGTCGATTCTACTTGCAGATCAGAACTGCAGTTTAAGAGAAACTGCATTATAAAAGAAAAATTAAGTGAATGAACAACCTGGAATAGAAGTTGAAACTGAGACTCGGCCATTATGTACTTGCTCAAGCACAATGAACTGAAGTTTTGCGGGTTCATTCTCAGGGGATGGCAGTGCCCCAGACATGGGATGAGAAGGGCAGCATCCATCAGAGATCTGTAGATTTACAGTACTAGCTTCTTTTTTTCCATGTAACCAAACAGTATATTTTTAATGCCATGTAATAGTAGACTGACACTGGCATTTTAAAATTCCTGATCCAATTTTTTTTAAACGCAGCTGCGCAGGAATATTGTTATTGAGGACTTGTTTACATCTTTCTCATGCCTGTAACCCCTGAAATGAAATCAACTCACATTCAGAATTTCGTCTTTGCAGAAGGCCAGGGCTTCCGGCTGTTTATGGGGAGGAAATGCAGCTTCGAAGGCGGCCCTGGCAGCACTGGCTGCCGGTGAGTAGGTGTCACACTGGGCTATGAGCCAGAAGCCCATCAAACTCTTCAAGTGAGGGGCCAAGTTTTTCTTCACTTTCAGGATCAGCTGCTCAAAGGCTTGCTGCGTGGCCTCCCGTACTCTGCGGTCAAGATCCTGCAGAGGGATGGAAAAAAACAAACATCCGGCATTAATGATGGCTTTGCAATAAAAAGGTTCAGAGGACCCATCATGAGATCAGAGATTAGAAGCATACCCCAGCCAAACAACTCAAAACACTTGAAAGATACACAGAAATTGTTCTGCCGAAAAATCTGCAAATGAATACACAAGCTCTTGTGATCTCTCCACTCTGCTGGGCTTTATACTGTGAAACGGGTGACAACCCTTTTCAAGGGCCTGAAACACAGCTCACTCCATGTCATTGTCCGCTCTTGCTACTATATGGCCTAGTAACGAACATCACCTCACTGTTTTTGCCTCTGCCTGCCGAGAGTCCCCTTCCAGCCTTCCTGTAAGTAACTCCCACACATCTGCTTCTAGACCTGAAATTTGCAATCCAAGTCTGATTTCAAAGTTCAGCTTGGCGAGCAATATTTCAGATTTTAGCTAATTACACCAGTTGATTTTTGAGACTTTGGAATAACACATATGAAGCTCTTGTCCATTTATTGTTCTTTATTAGAGCAATTGCATTTTCCAGGAGGCCCTAGATCCAGCCACACGGGCTACAATTAGAATGTACAAATTTCCTTTAGCTTTCCCATATAAATTAGAGGACACACTGCTTTCCCAACAACCATATAAATTAGAGGACACACTGATTTCTGTTTCAGCCTAGTGTTCATCTTCATAGAGGCAGGACATATACCCAGGGGTCTACTGTATCCCTAAATGAACGCTGAGAAAATGACCCCCATGAATGCTGAGGGAAAAGTATTATATTGTTATCAGGGTCATGTCCGATGGACAGTCCAGCTGCTGGGGACACATCCAAAGCAACAGAATTACCAAGCTTACCATAATGGAGTCGCCTCTTGCTGGCCCAGACCACTGAAGAATATTTACTTCCTATTGAAGGAGTGACATCTCGCTGGCCTGGCTAGCGTGGTAACTACTTCATGCAAGTGGTCTGCTAGCCGTCCTATTGCTGATGACACTGCTTGTGGATCATCAGTAATGGGACACAAGATTTCCCTTTACTTCCAGCCCTGGCAATACCCGTCACAAACGCAGTTATTCAAACAGCCATTGTGCATTCGTACCAGTGGAAGATTTCTGCTTTCACAATTTCACAATTCAAATGTAGCTTAGTCGAAGAACCAGTCTACCTCCTTTACCTTTTGATTTTCACAATATACAGTCTACTTACTTGAAGTTCAATAATGTCGTAATCATTTACAGCTGAAACTACAGAGTAAACTTCAGTTTGGGGAACGGTTGTAAATTGTAATCCTTTGTATCAACAACTAGAAGATCAAAATGAAGTTCCTCCAGTGATCGCCTCTCCTTGCTGCACGTAGTGCTACTGCATGTGTGTGGGAATGAGGAACCCTGACTAATACCAACACAGAACCCTGACAGGTAGCAATGGTAAAACAGTTTATCAGAAGAACCTGGAGTATTGTTAATCTGCCAGCTGAAGAAATGAACTACATACCTGCATATCTAACCAACCATACAAATTAAACAGCTGTATATTTACACTTTACATACCAAAGAAATCTTGCAGTAGTTTCTGGGCCAGTATGGTAGGACACCCCGGACTGCCTCTATCTCTCTCTCTTTGCACATTGCTCCGAATTCTTGCATTGCCTGTATAATAATAAAAAAAAAAGTGCATTCTGGATGTCAACTAAATGACAATGTAGAAGTAATAACATAGTAAGATGTGCAGAGAAAATATTTTGCTGAGAAGTGAAAATGTTCTAGTCCTGCAACCAACAAATTTATTAACCGATAATAAATATATATAGTTGACAACTTTTCTCATTATCGATTAGTCGGTTGGATCCACTAGCTCTCTCCTCTATGCTGGGAGGAGGGCAAAGCAAGTAGTGGGCAGGTGCAATAGCCAGCATGCTATTGCCACATCCACGATCGGCACACGGACGCGGGGAGATGTAGTAAGGAGGAGCAGGTGTGGGGGGATGACAGCCGCCGATAGACAGGTCCGATCTCAGAAGCAAGTTGCTGGAAGACTGCTCAGGTAAGCCTGCACTTTCCCACGCATGGTGCTCTATAGTGTATTGCTGGGATAGTGGGATTTGTATTCCTCTATATCTGATGGTAGATTGTGCTGTATATGTACCATCAGCTATAGAGAACTACAAATCCCAGCAATACATTATACACTATATGTATAATGTATTGCTGGGATTTGTTGTACTCTATAGTTGGTGATATTCTGCACTGTGCTGTATAGAGGACTACAAATCCCAGCAATAATGCATTATACAGCGCAATGCGGCATACCACCAGCTATAGATGAGTACAACAAATCCCAGCAACAATACAATATACAGTGCAATGCCGAATACCACTAGCTATAGAGGACTACAAAACCCAGCAACAGTACATTATACAGAGCAATGCCGAATACCGCCAGCTATAATGTACTATTGCTGAAATTTGTTGTAGTCCTCTATAGCTGGTGGTATTCTGCATTGCACTGTATATTGTATTATTGCTGGGATTTGTAGTCCTCTATAGCCGATGCCATTCTGCATTCATTGCTGTATAATTTTACACTTTCACTATATTGCACACCACACTATTTATTTTCTTTTTTACTTCCACAGCTCCACGCTTGCTCTTGTGATGGACTGTAATCTCAATACAAACTAGTAGTCCCATCACTGGAGCCATTTTTTAAAATTTATTTTATTGTTTATCCGATTGATCGAACATAATAATCGGATAACTAATCGATTTTGAAAATAATCGTTAGCTGCAGCTCTAATTCATTGAAGGCCCTAAACACGCCTCCTACCCACAGTGTGATCACCCACACTGGACTGCACAGTACCGCAATGCCGTGCGTTCCAGTGCAGTGCGGTTGCAAAAAACTGTGCTGGTTGTCTACTTTGGTATTACAAGTATGTTTACTATGCTTACGCATTTGCATCCTGTTTATTACTTTTCACCCTTACAAGTTCACATTTTGCTAATGTTGCGTTATGTAACCTGAAAAGAAAAAATAAATAAAGAATTTACAAAAACAAAAAAGATAGGTGCCAGCTGTCATTTTAAGAAGCATTGGCTACCTGGCTCCTGGGATGTGTCCAGCCGCAACTTAAAGCAGAATGCTGCTATGACAGAATGGCTTCACAGAGAAGAGCAGCCTTTCTCAATCAGGGTTCCATAGACCCCTAGGGTTTCTCCGCTAATGGCTAGGGGTTCCTTGAGCAGTGCCTGTTTGACCTCCCGTCTGATGCCTGCATAGTTCCTAGAAGAACATCACTTGGCACAGCCAGCTGTATGATACCATCATGACATGATCTATTTTAGTTCAACAGGGGTTCCCTTGGATCTGAACGTTTCTTCAAGGGTTCCTCTGGAGTAAAAAGGTTGCAAAAGGCTGGAGTAGAGGGTTAATGCAACATATCCATAGCTCTATACTGAATAAGAGGCACTGGACAAATAATGTAATTGAAGAAAGTCCTGCATCAGCTTAATTGACTGATTGACAATAAAACATACAAAATGATAAAAATAAATTAGATATGGACTCCTGTATGCAGAGATGTTTATTGTGCACCTGTTGTATGTTTCAAGCTGAACTTAGGATTAGAGGTGAATGAATGATTAACAATACATATGGCTTGCAATGCCCGGTGATTTTTGGGCAGGTAGTCTTGTAATCATGCACCCCTGCCAGAGAGCACCGCCAAGTCGCTGACGTCACTTTTTTCTACTGTGAAGCCTGCCAGACTAAACATGAGCATGCAGATATCAGGTTATCCTTGTGTCCTCCCTTCAGGTTCAACGGTGCTAGACACTACAGTGCAATCAAACACTGACAGGCCCCCTCCCCAACGTGCTGCTGTGCAAAAAATTGCAGGAAGCTAATAAAAACAAACATTTAAACATTTGCATATTTATACTTGTGGCATAAAAATACAATTACCCATCGATAATAAAGAAATGCGTTAGCCTTCAAGTGCGTCTGATTTCATTAGCCTACCTACCTTTAATTTTGTGGTGACATCTCGCTTAGAAAGCTTGCGCAGCACCATCCGGAAATCAGCATCCACGAGGCTGTCCACCTCTTCTGCACCCTGCACAGCAGGGACATATCCTGAATCGCTTTGCGATGTTCCAAATCCAATGAAGCCTGGTACTGTGCCACTTTCCTTAGCCAGAAGTTCTGCGGCTCTTCCACTGCTGGATGGCTACAAACAAAAACTAGAATTAGAGAGAAATTCCATTCCATGTTTACTTGCTTTCAAGCCACACAAAACCTAACTATATGGAGATACAGGATAAAATTACATACAAAAAGGATCTGTATGTTACTGCCAGCTGAAGCCTCTGGAGGCAAATTGACAGATTTACTTTTTCAGCCCATTGTGACCATCACCACGGGCTGAAAAGGTAAATCTGTCAATTTGCCTCCAGATTTGCCTGATAAATTCCCCATCACCACCAGCCCTCTCTCCAACTGATACTTGCCTTTACCATGGCCTCCCACCACCCCAATCACCTACTGGAGCCCCAAGTCTTACACCTATGTAAGGGCCTCTGTGTAATTATATATATATATACGAGAGGGCTGACAACATTAAGTTCACAAACATGATGTGTGCAGTCAGCCTACAAAAGGAAATTAGAAAGTCAAGCACATTTCTGTTTTAGGTTTAAAACATGGGGAAATATGCATGTATTTTTTTTTTCTTGCAACAGAATACAGTTTAACAAGTTCAGCGCTCCTGTATATCGCCTATAGTGCAGAGGAATTCTTACACTTCTGCTACCGGCCTGTTTATTCAGCAATATCTTTGTCTTTACTTAAAGTGACATTAAGGGCAAAAGTCCCCGCCCCCCCCCCAGTAATGTAAGGACTTACCTTAAATGATGCCTCTTAATCCGATCATCTTCTTTCCTGTAGTTTTAAGCTGTCCCTCCAGCGCTGGTGCGGGTCTCCGATCCAGCGCTGACTCCTCTGTGCTAGCTGGCACTTCCTAAACCACGGAGCGTGTGCACGCTGCTCCATAGACTTAACTTGCGTGTCTCCTCGTTTCCCGGCCAAAGATCTGAACTGTGCATGCGCCCGCCCAAGAAATTTTCAGATGTTTGGACGAGGCGCGCGGCGGAGACACAGGTAAGTATTAACCCTTTGAAAAAGTTTTTTGGTTTTTTTTTTTATTGTTTTGCATATACCATCTGCTTGCTAGCAGTAGATATATGCAAAAAACAATGAGGGTTTAATAACCCTTTAAGATCTGGAGGAACAGTCAGGGAAGGGGTGGGCACAGCTGGCTCAGGCTCTAGAGAGGCAGAGCCAGATGTCAATCAGGCAGCGGGGTGGATCCTGGCAATACTGTCGGGATCTTCCCGCGCTGCTGCGTGGCTTTGAGCTGTCAGCATATAGCAGCCAGTAGCCCGCTAAATGCTGAATTTGGGTTTTACTAATGTACTCCTGTGACCCAAAGAGAACTTCTGCCAAAAATAGTCTGGCTTTAGTTCTCTTTTACCGGTTAGGAAAATAGAAATGAAGAAAAATAATAAAATCAGGAATCAAATAGTTAAGAGGGGAAAAGTGGAAGAAAGAGTTAAATAGGGCTGAAAGAGAGCAACAGATAGGTTGGCGTGCGGGTAGGTGGGCGGGAGGGAGCTGCGGCCGGTCTTCCCATGTAAAATTTAATTACCCCGAAGGTAAGACCTAGCGCTATCTTCAGGGATGTCTATAATATAAGACCTATTCCGAACTAGGTCTTATTTTCGGGGTAGGTCTTACTTTCGGGGAAACACGGTAGGTTAAATAGAGCACAATTTAATTTTTATTTTTTTTACTTGTCAGGTTGCCTTATTTGACATCTAATGCAGATGGAAGTTCATCCCTTTAATTAGCAGATGAATGAAACAGAGTAGATAGAGATGTAAAGTTACATTGTTCCTTGTCTATCATGTGTGTGATCAGTGTGTATAAACATTGCCTGATACTTTGACAGAAGCAGCTTCTACAGCTTCCATATTTACACAACAACTCCAGGCTGTCATTCTGACAGCAGATAACTGGAAGCAAGTGTGTGTGTGTGTGAGTGTGTGTTGCAGGGGGAACAGAGGGGCAGATGGACAGGGTGTACACCCTGTGTACTTCAATTATATACCAACACCATCTTTCTTACCATGTATCACCCATATTCAGGGTGTAACATGAAACATGGTCACATCTGCAACCTCACACCCCCCATTTGGCCCACCTTACTAGGATTCTGTATATGTTTGCCACACACAGCTAGCTGTGCGGTATCCATTAACAGATACCTTGACAGGATCTCTAAATAGAAAAACCACAAGTCTCATCTGCCACCATACCAGAGGGACTCGTAGTTCTGAATAGAGTACAAGTATAGTGATGTCACTGCACTTGTAGTCCATTTATTCTTCCTCCCGTCACTGTGAATGAATGCCTGCACTCTAGGTACGGAGAGGGTCTGGGAGAAAGTCTGCAGGAGTCAGAACATTGCACCCAAAATGTACTTATCGCGGTATCAGTTCTTTGCAGGCTTCAATGCAAAAAAAAAAAAGATCAATAAATGCACATTTTTTCTTTTATCAGTGTGTGTGCATTTATTGATTATTTTTTTTTGGGGCAGAAGGTGGACTATGCCCTTTAAGTTTATTTTGGACTGTGTCACGTCACCAACATGATCTGAATAATCGTTCTGTGTAATAGCAGACTGTGAACACTCACCTCTCCAGCTTCTACCGACTCTAAAATCTGCCGTCGCCAAAGCATCCATTAAAGTCTTCAGCATGTTCTATGCCCGTGTCCCCTCCTCTGCACTCAATGGTAATTGTGAGTCTTAGGGCTTGTTCACACCAAATGCAGAGCAGATCCGCTCAGGTTTCTGCACACTCACAATGTGTTTTTGACGCATTTTTTTTTCCAGGAAGATAACAATGTTATGAGGTCATTTCCATTGTGTTGCTGAGGGAATACATATTGCTGAGGGAACACATATGGCATATAATATCACAGACAGCCACACATGCTGCATGAAAAGCAGCTGCAGGTGTCAGTGAGCAAACAGGCAGTGTGATAAGGAGGAGTGGTGGGGGGAAGGGGGGTGGATGGAATACTGCATTTGAGGAACTACTAGTATACAATGCCATTCACATTGAAGTACTCACCACAGCTCTCCTTATCTGTCAAGGACATATCCTTATATCCTGGGAAAACTCTCCCTGTTATCAAACTCCACTGGTCAGCCTTCTTCCTATTGTTCTTATATTGAAAGTGTCTGCTGTCATATAGCTCAGGGCACTGTTGAACCATACTTATGAATCTCTCTGGGTCACAAAACTGGTCCACCATTTTTCCTTTGCTCTCCAGCTCACAAGGTCACCTTTTCCAAAGTCAGGAAGTGACCAAGGAAGATTAGGTTGTGACAGATGACCATAGAGGTTTTTTTTTCTTTATGGTCATTTTTTTCCATTGAATTGCGTTGTGTTTTTGATGCGTTCCAGAGCAGATCCAGAGCAGGTAAAATAGGGCTTGCTGCAGTTTTTCACCTGCTCTGGATCTGCACGCTGCGATGTGAACTGGAGCTCAAAATACCATAGGAATACATTGGACGCAGTTTTGATCTGGATCTGCTCAGCGCTTGGTGTGAACTAGCCCTTACAATGCCTCATGGAACTTGCAGTTCCACTACAACTGGAGGGCCGGAGTAAGCCACCCATTAAATAGACTCTCTGTCAAGTTTATATTGCTCTGTTTCCCAACTTGGGAGACTCATCCCTCTATTTGTACCATTGTCACCAATAAAGAAAAAGAGGGAAAAATCCAAATTCTAGAGTTGTTCCCAGAACAAGCAGTGATGGGAAATCTTTCAATTGGTAACAATGTCTAAGAGGGGAATTCCCCTCACTTTAGGAGGTTTCCTCTAACTTCCTTTGGTGTCTCTGGGAGAGGAAATGTCCCCAATCGTACAGCATCAACAGGGAGCAGCTCAATACAGAGGCTTCCTGTCCATTCATGATACGGTTGATAGTAAATATCTACTGTCTCCAGATTGTGGATGAACAGGAATCTTCTGTACTGAGAGCTTTCTGTTCAAAAGGAGAACTACCGGTATGAGGTGAGGTATTCTAACTCAATCTCATAGTTCGAGCCGACGTGTGACAATGAAACTGTCATATATCAGCTCAATAGTTTGGGAAGTGAGCTAACACATACCGTCGCTCGCTTACTTCTCGATCATGTCCCGGCAGAGAGCCGTGACTGTCACTCAGGTCTCCCTGCAGGGATTCCCCCCTCCCCGCTCCTCAGCGCTGACTGGCGGAACGGACAGTATACTGAGCTGCAGCTCGCGGGAGGATGTTAGTTTGTGTTCTCCCATGACCCTTAGGAGAACTATGTGGAAAAACACTGCATAGTTCTCCTTTAATGCTGGGGCTGCAGAAAGACATTGAGGACTCTGTGTCCTCAATCTCTTTTTCAATTTTAAAAGGGAAACATCAGGGGTCTGTTTCCGGTCTAAACATTTTATTTTGGTGCATCCCTAATGTTTACATGTATCCTTGGGTACCCCAAAAGTGCAATGTTGTGTTGGAGGTTTCTACTGAAAAGTAGGATGTGAAGTTTCTGCTGCTGGTCCCTTGACATCTCGCTGTAGTCCCCGGGGGGGGGGGGGGGGGGGGGGT